AAATTTACAAAGTTAATTATTTGTGGTCAATCCAACTACATACGCGGTATCGTTTCAAGACGCGGTCATTAAAACGAAATAGTAAATTAAAATATAGACTTCCTAACCTGTCCAGTAGCAGTCAGAGGATCCATGACGGAAGCTCGCTGAGTGTCTCCGTATAACTTCAAACTCATATAATGAGTTGTACTGGTCTCGTGCTCAGCAGCCCTCCTTCTATACAATGGGTCCTGGATGGAAAGTAAATGAGAAACTATTGAATCGTTCATTAAATTGCTGGTCAGAACAAACGGATGTATTTTAGGTTATACTGTTTATGGAAAGTTTTGCGGTCGTGTTGCAAATAAGATTTGAACATCATTTGTTATGTTTCATATCATCTACTCCTTACAGGAGTGATGGAAGCATATTACAACATTACAATATTATTCAAATGTAACTTACCATTTTTAGAACATCAGGTCTTTTCCGATGATTGTAATAGATTGAGTTTGATATACTCAAAATATCAAAAGACTCCACGTCAGACACCCCGTAACACAAGTAGCTGACCGTCTTTCGAAGATCTACTGGAGCAGAAACTTGTTCAATGATGTCCTCGGAAAACGATCCAGCGAATCTACCGCCTGATGTGCAGTTAACAATCGAGTTCCGCACAAGTTGGAGGTCGACATGAATAGAGTTACTGTCCTGCTCCTTCTCAAAGGCTTGCTTCATGATACCATGAAGGTTTTGTTTTGAACAGATCATGACATAACGCCACGACCCATCATGTTCAATTACAATTTCTGTTCCTATATGCGTCTTCACGGAAGACAAAAATGATATTTCATTGTGAAAAAGTTCTTCGTCCTTGTATCTATCTGATAGAGTTGATGATACAAGTTCATTAAACAAACTAAAGAGCTGAGTGCGGGAATAAATTCCTCCTTTTTCTATCTTAGCAAGCAATGCTCTCATCAGCCTCACTCGTCGTAAGTGACATGGACGTTTTGGAGTGCTTGGAAGGTCCTCATCTTCGATAAGCCGTTTCCCTGGTGTCCATTGGCTTGCTTCACTTGAGGGGGTATTGGCCGAGTCACTTTCTTCTACTTCATCTTCTGTAGCAACAATTGGATTGCCTACTGCTGCTAAATCATTGCTGTTTTCTAGGGTATTCTGAAGGGCTTGGACTTGCTGGATAACTTCTTCCTCGTTTAATTGAGAAGCTGCCGCTATGGGGGCATAAGCGGTAGCTGTCTCGTTTTTCTTCTGGTAACGTTTTTTGCATGCTTGGTGAAAGGATGCTTTGATTTCGTTCAAAAAGTTGGCTATCGACTCGTGGTCGTCACGTAAACCGCTCCATCCCATCTCATAAAGGTCTATGTCACTCCCGTGGTTCACGTGATGAGATAGGAGGTTCTTTGCTATTGTAGAATTACCAGTATCATTTCCGACAATAAGCGGTTTACGTCCTGTCGTCTTACAAATTGGACATATCTTTCGAATCCTAATGTCCATCAAAAATGCTGAAAAGTAGGTCTTGAAAGGATGTGAAAATTCACGAAAGAAAAAATTATGTGGTCATTATATTACAACATAATCATCATTGATCAATTAACATTGATTTGCTTATACTCGTGTTTGTCAAAATTTTAGAAACTTCATTATCTTATGTTACTATAGGTCATGAAATCAAGAATATGCTCTAAAACGATGGCGCCAAACCTATGTAAAACTAAAATGACGAAATTATCAAGCAATTTGTTTATCTCGTTGAGATGATTCTAACCATTGTAATGACCAAGATGACCACTTATTTCCCATCAAAAGACCGAAGCTGAGATATCTTGTATGAAGTGTGTCAATCGATGCTCGTGAGAGTGTAAAAATGGGGTCTGAACTGAAAACACAACAACCCGAAGTCTGAAGACTCTAAAACCATGATCATTTAAAATTAAATACACAAGACGAAAGTTTAGCTCTTATCAGAAGCAGAGATATCTTAAAACAAGTGAGATAAAGGGTGTGGTCATACATATAACTTTAGTCTAAGGGTCACGAAATCCTCTCCGAACCTCAGCGTGGTGTGGCCTGGTTGGCAGTAACGGGTGGTGTGCTCTCTTGTTGAGTACAAAGGTTGGGACTTGCCAACTCAAAGTTCCCATGTGGCCTGGTTGGCAGTAACGGGTGGTGTGCTCTCTTGTTGAGTACAAAGGTTGGGACTTGCCAACTCAAAGTTACCAGGAACTAGGAAGTCGACACTAACAGCTACCAAGCATCAGGAAATTTCTCTTTCAGATATCAGGATACCAGATAGTACACGCACGAATGACGACACGTTAGACAAAGATACCTAGCTCTAAGAGCTATTAAATCACCAAGAAATTCTCCTTCGGCTTTTAGGTCCCAACGAAGTCACCCACCACAGAGCTGCGGATTCCAATTCGCTCATTCTGACTACAAAGACACACTGATAATTAGTAGTCTTTGCACTCCCTCAAGTAACCACTTTTCAGGTCTTTTTCAGTTAAGATAGGTAATGCATAAGGGCTGACACACGCTAGACACAGGCTCGTGATAAGACAGAGTTAGGGATGTCAAATCTCTCACTCTGACTATGAGGAGTGAGGACACACTGATAGCGAGAATCCTTAGCACTTCTCCCTCCAGTAACCATATTCCAGGTCATCTCAGCTAGACAGCTAAGGGCTCATCTTGAGGCCATCACATTTAACCTAGGATTAGGGGACCGGGTTAGCTTTGCCACACTCTTCATTGAAGTGTGACAAACTGCTCTACAATCATCTAATAGCAGCAGAGTTCGACTGACACCATTACTGGTTCTAATCAGTTTATACAGCAGAAGTTCTTAACGTTCGAAAACAGTTCATCTTGGACATCCTCCAGAGATGCTCTATCATAGCCTGTCACATTACACGGGGAACCCTTAGATCTACAGTACCCTGGTGGACAGCATAGCTCACTAAAGCATAATCGGACCAGGAACAAACAACAATGCAATGCCTCAGGGATGCAAATATTAGGACATCAAAATTTTAACGAATGCATTACTCAAACTTTGGATTCAATTTGTTAGCCCAACGTTAGATGGTAACAATACAGGACAGACAATCCTCCTTTACTTTCATTGAGAAAATAGTACCCACTATTTGCATTACACATGGCAAGTATCTGGACTAATGATAACTTAGGATCCCCATCAATCATTAATTCCTCTCAGATTCCCAGGCTGCATTTAAAGCGCCTAACAGCACCAGTTTTAACTCCAGGTTCGTTCAGGGACGTAGCCAGGATTTTTCTTTGGGGGGGGGGGGGGCCTGTCGGCGAGCCAACGCGTCCATTCCAGCTGCGCAGCGAGCAAAGCGAGCAAGCTGTGGCGGAGGTCTGGGGGCACAGGGCCCAGCGGGGCCCAGGGGCGGAGCCACTTGGCGGGGGCTAGGGTGGCGCAGGCCCCGGAAAATTTTGCAAAATAGATTTTGACATTTCCTACGGTCTAGGGGACACTAGCCCCCCCCCCCCCCCCTGTCTACGTGCCTGGGTTCGTTCTGAACATCTCAGACCAACTCAATTCAATAGGTATTCACATCGAGTAGAACTTGGATGTTCCAGGGCATGAAGGAGTAACGGTAAAGAACTAGCGGACGAATTAGCAAGGGATGATCAATCCAACAACATCCCCATAGGACCAGAACCCTTTCTCCCAATTAGGCCAAACTCAGTGACAAAGGAAAATCACACTTGAGATGTTCCTTCACAAACATAAATACAGGTATTTTAATTTTTCTGGAACTCACATCAGATGGCTGACATGGCCACTGTCAGGATAGATCACAGCCCACTAGTTTAACAACGTCAACTTCGAGACACAAGATTGTGGACACTTTCAGGAGAAGCAGAAACATCCCAGCACCTCCTCTGCAAGGGCATCCATATCATGACACGCAGAATGAGGATAATTAGAAAACCACTAAGGACTACGGAGGATCTTAACTGTTCTAACCAATCTTTCCCCTTTAGCAAAGTCACCCTGAACTCTACTGTGGTGAGTAGAGTGTTACACTTTGTAACTGTGCTTTATAGCTTTCCTTAGTATTATAGCTTTCAGTTCATGTTTCTAGTAAGATAAGAACTGGTATTGATACTTCTAATTGCATTTATTCTATAATGAATTGCATTACACATTATATATGTTTTTAGATAGATACCAATCATCGTGATTCCATTGCATACATCAGACTAGAGCAATAAACATTAACAACAGTAAATTCAACCATATCTTCAAATTTGTAAAACAGTCGACAATACTGGATAGTATAGGGAAAACCCTGGATTCTTCCTTTAAGTGTATACATACTATTACTATCCAGAACTAAGAATATTTGCATTATACTTTCAAACCAATTTCACAGTGTGATCATTTAAACTTCATGTTGTGGACGTCAGCTGAATTTGATGCAACCGAAAATGCGACATGAGCATGTAAATTTGATATGAGAAAAAAAATTGCGCAACAAAAAATTTGGTAAAATCTCCTTATTGCGATTTCTAACTGCGCGGCGTAGCGCGTACTTTTAAATCCAAATAAAAATTATTTTTGATTAAAATATCAAAAAATAAAATTACGGCATACAGCAAATCTTGTGTAAAAAAATGTGATAAACAATATGCTGTAAAAAAAATTCGTCAAAAACTTTAAAAACACGATGCCCCGCCCCATTTTCTAAATTAACCATTTTTGGGACTTTGACGGGCTATAACTTTCGCTAGGAACAGCCATTTGCCTAAAACTTGGTACCAAACGACTCTACTCAATGAGACCTTTCCAATGATGTATAATATGTTGGGTTTTGAGACATAAAATGTTCACCCGCAAGTTGATGCTCTTAGTACATACACTAGTTGTGGCCAATGACCACCATAATGCATGCTATTAGATAATGTGAGTGGGTTTCCCAATAAAATTAGTGAAGTGAACGACATTATTTAAGATATTTCAGTAAATATGGATCTGATGAGCGACACGAGGATTCTACCCATTGCACCTTTAGCAGGGTATGATGAAGACTTCTCGACACAGAGCATGAAGACATTCGACTTGGTAAGTGTGGCGAACAGTAACGAGGGAGATACGTTGAACCTTGTAGTTTAGGAGTCGTAGTTAGGCATTATCGTCCGACTACTTGAATAATAAATTTCTTCAGTCCTGAAATAAGACTCCCGGCACCTTGATACTGACCAATTAATATTTGCACAGGTGATGAGGAACATGAACAGAACCTGGTGGGGTCTCACCAATTACAACACCCTCGATAAACTGACCCACGCTTTTCATATGGCTGAGGTCTGGGACAGCGCCGCCGAACAGTACAGATTGGTAAAACGACTACTGGACCCTGAGTCTGATATCTGTGGTTGTGCAACCAATGTTGCAGAGAACAATGTCCTGAACTATCTGAATCTCATGGCCTTCAAGATCAAGTACCCTGGAATTACCTCTGGAAACAAAACCCTTACAGATCATTGTAAGTTTCGTCGTAATAAAGGTCGTACCCACATAACAGGGTATGTAAGGACCAGTATATACCTTATATATATACACCATTTAGTATACAAATAAATTATAATTTCAGACCTCGAATCTAGAGAGAGACGATCAGCTGACACGATGTACAGGTACTGTCCAGGTACTGTCCGACCAAGAATCGGTGAGGGGTCACAAGCAGACTTTGATGGAATTGACTTTGATCTCTCCGATATTGAGGTAAGCTAGATATGTATAAACATAATCGTATCTCTTGCAAGTTTTTTCTGTAATAACGACACATGTGGTTATTGAATTGCTCTTATTATTGAAAAATCTTACAACCCCAGCTGCTGAAAGATATTGCAGAAAAGCTAGTAGATGATGGAGGAATTATATCAGTGCACGTGGATAGTACAGAACACTGGGAAGTGTGGAGGAAGAAGATGAAGCATGGTATGGGGGAGTCAGCATACTACGATCTGGCTGTGTTCATGTTCTGCATGCTCAACTAGACTAGATCCGGACTATGGGGTCTGGACACTAAGAATTGTATGTTAATGATATAATAATAAGATACGGACACTTTTTGTTACATTTTATCGTAGGGTATAGATTATGCAATTATATAAGGGTTAACCTTACTTTGATTTGATAAAGTAGTATTAAAACCATTATACTATGAGATTTTCTAAGGTTGTCAATAATTTTATTGTAATTTGGGGAAAATTCATTGAATTTGATGCATCAATTTAACTTGTTTTTGAACTAATTAAAGAAATATAATGAATTAACGAACTTATAACTAAATTTACAATACAATATTAAAAGAGACTACAAATACAATGTATTCCGATACTGTACTAATTAAAAATGTAGCGCAGTCTATGTTTACATTGACGGATGTTACTCGTCTAAATTTCTGCGAAGCAAAGCAACGATCGATGCGAAGCAAAAATGCTACTGCTAGTTTGCGCGGCGCGTCGAAGCGGCGAAGTCCTCCAAGATGGCAAGTGCTATGAGTATGAAGTAGCGCTTAACGGGTGATACTCGTAAAATATCTGTTCCATATATTGTTCCATATATTGTACCGTCGACGAGTCCAACTCGGTGCGCGTCCTGGTAGGTTGTAAACCTACAAAGTAGCGCTTGTAGGTTTATAACCTACCATGCAGGACGCGCGCCGATTTGGAACAAATATTTTATTTTTACGAGTATCACCCGTTAATACAACAAGCGCCGTGAATGGTGAAGCATTTTGAAGCAACAATTGCTGCACGGTAAAATTTTGTATTAGTATTACATATTACAAGCGTGCTAAATCACTTTACACTCAATCTATCTTTGAAATTTTTCTAAAAGGGCCCTCGACGGGACAGTTGAAACCAAGCATGACATAGGGTCAAAATACTCCCCTGGCAAGATATTGGCGAAAAGCTGTCTCGATCATGTGATATGACCTTATAAGGAAGTTGGCCTAATTTCTCGTTAGGGTTTCAGCATATGATTTTGTCAGGGATTGGGTTATGATTTCGAATAGCCTTTCAGGGCCAGCTAGATCAGAGAACAGGTTGAAAAAGTCACGAAACAGTCGAGTGTATAGTGATTAATCATCATCCTTTGTATTATTCACATTTTTAGACAACTTTTGATACAAAATTTATCAAAAATCGCGATCGGAGGAAAAATTCTGTGCCAACTCATGGCGCTTATTACATAAACTATATAATAAAGCAACTTAAGAACAGTTTGGAAAAGTTGGTCGGCCATAAAGGACACCTAGTGGGACTCAAAACTGTCGGAAAATTATTTTGTTAGACGGATCTGTCTGTACTGGTAGGATCTACGGACTACTCATCTATATCAATATGTACAATGTTAATAATTATGTTTCTTCAAAATTTCATTCATTATTTGATTTCCTCGATTAGGGAGTTTGAACTAATCATAAAATTAAAACGAGTGATCTTGCTTTGCGTTTAGATGAAAATTGGAGAAAATACAAATTGATACCCCGTAATTTCCAAAACAACAAATATAACACGAGAGCTTAAACTTAATAAAACATTAGACAAATAATATACCAGAAATAGTTTTCGCTATACAACATCGTCTTATGAGTGATGAAAACAATTTGATCTCCCGAGTTTGAAGTTACCATATATTACTATTTATAGTAATTGCGAATGTTAAATTGTATTAGCATTGAAGCTGAAATAAATTGTTAATTAGCCTGGTGTCATAAAACATAAAATATAATATCATAAAATTATACAATTTATTATGTGTCATGATATTCGCTTGTATTTAAATATACATTTTTTTATAGAGATAAATTTCATTCAAAATCAATTTAAATAAATATAGCAAGAATTGATCCACAGGTAGTAGAGATAGCAGATTAGCAGTATAAATCCATTTGAACCGGTGCCGTCAGCTCACATAACGGTGGTTTTTAAACCCCTCAAGAACTGATTTTAATATTAGGAGTTGTTCACATATTACGTAATCACTAATCAGCCGAGGGGGAGGGGGGTTTCCAAATGATTACGCTAGCGTAATTTTAACACAATAGATATGCGTAAAACTGGTTACGGAGGGGGGGAGGGGGTTAAATTTTTCAAAAAGTGATTACGTAATATGTGAACGACCCCTTATATCGGGTGTAGAGTGTAGAGTGTTTAATATCACTCGTGAACTGCTTACTCGAGCACCGGTTAAAACTTTTAATTTAAACTCAAATTCAATAAAAATGTTCCTGATTCTGCGAAATATATCCAATAAGGAATATACTTACAATTCCTTTATTTTCATCGGGAAGAATTTGGAAATGCAACAAAATGAATAAACTGCAGAAAAACTAAACAAGACAAATTAAATACAATTTCATCTTGATCCAAAATAAACAAAACTTTCTGAAACCGCGGAAACTCGTGAATCTTCTGGCTTAACACTTCCTTTGAGATGCAACGACTAATATCGTCGCCGTCAGAAATCTAAATTAAACAAATTTAAATTTGTCAAAATTAGTCGTTGAATCTGCTTTCATAATCTAAAATCAAATCACTCCGCGGGTTCGACGATGATAAAATAATCTTAGCTGTTCCAGCCAGCTGAATAAATATTTCATCATAATACACAAATTTAAATAAAGATTAAAACAAAACAGGATGCAAAATTAAGTTAAACCATTTGTGGTGAATGAAGATACAACACGGACACTCCTAAATTAAATCAAGAACTATTCTTCTAATTTAAATTACTAATAACATACGTCAGCTATAAGAAAGCTTTCCAAATCAATCCTAATTTACAATACTAAATTTGTCCAAATTTACACGCTTTTCCTCCTGATACATAATAACGAAATTAACACCATTTCAAATATACTGAGTATGTTTTAATTAACAGATCACGTGGCACGCTTATTTGGAATTCTTTTAATTGACATAATAATTTACTGAAAACAGCCCTAATCGTCCCGCAAATCAGACACAATTACATTATTCCGGTGTCAACAATTTTAGTGATGAGGCATGTTTTAACTGGATGTTGTCGGCTGACAAGTGAAGACTGAAGAGAGAAAGTTTGGAGAGCGGGATATCTAGTCTAGTCTCGGGGGAAGTTAACTTTTAACCAGCCTCCAGCATGCTCTTTATGTTTCTTCAACCACTCTCTCCGATGTGAGGCTGCTTCTAGACCTGGAGAGTGTTAGAAATCAGCATTTGTGTTAGTGCTGAACGGGTTTAGATTGTTCTCAAGATATTTAGATTTTGGGTTGTAATCGTTGTAAATACACTATATTACCATGCACAGAACACACTATTCATAGCCAAATATTCAATGTTCATGGAGATATTCAATAGTATGAGCATTTCAGCTTTATTAATTACTTATTAATTACAAGTTATTATAAGAATAACGAAATAAGAACGTTACCTTTTTTAACTCCTCTCTCAATGCTGCCCAAATCGTCCTTGTTATCAAAGAACTTGTTAACTTCATCTATATCTTCCTTTTTGTAAAACTGGCCGATAACAGATTCTATGAGCAGGTCGAACCCTGAGTTAGTGTGACCAAACCTGCAAGTGTGCAAACCTTATTAACATCATTATTGGGAAAATGTTTACAAGTTCAGGTCAGTTTGGGCCGTACAGAATCATTGGCAACCATAGTAACTTGGTAACTTGACTAAAAGTCACACTAAAAGTCACACTAAAAGTGGCACTATAAGAGAAATTGGCCAGGTTGTGTAGTGTTATAATACTACAGATTAAGTAGGGTACCGGTTGTGTTATAACACTCCTCAGTGACTCACTCTTCATAGAAGAAGGCCCAGTTCTCTCTGAGAAAGTCCCAGGTAGCGTAGTTGGCCGGGTAGCTTCCCATAGATATGTGCATCAGAACAATCCTGGCGTCTTGTCTTCTGATCATCTTCTCATCTGAGTCAGTTACTTTGTTAGTGTCAATGGTAAACTAATTATTTTCATTGCACAGTACTCGTTATGTGAACACTATCGTAAAATCTGAATAAAAATCTGAACAAGTACGTATGAAATATTACAGAATTATCAGGTTTAACATACCCATGGTGTATTTGAGGAGTTTCTTGACGATGTCCACATTAAAAGTGGACGCTAACGCCTTCATAAGATATCTTTGCTTGCTCTGCAGGGATTCCTTAGTGTACTCCTGGAAAATAGCTTCCCACTCCTTCTCGGTACAGTTCATAGCTACTGTCGCGTACACAAAAGCGTACAGATTAGCTTCTACCTGACAAAATATAACGGTGAGTATTTGCAATAATACAGTTTTATTACAACTTTATTTTAGGGTAGGATTATTCTAATTCCATAGAAACCCATGAATTACAACTTTTATCTGTACTGAGCATTCATCGAAATTCATCATTTGCCAGAGCCCACCCCCCCCCCCCCTCCTTCTTAACCCCCTTTTCACAGCGCCAGTGGTACTGCTATAACAGACCGCATAACTTTTGCTTTTTACTCTGTAAGTGTAACTGAGTTAATAAAAGTCTGACCGGTTAAAATCAAGGCTCCGATTATTAATCACAAAAGATAATATTCCGTCGACTAAACCACCGTTATAGCAGAGCAGCACCTGGCGCAATTACCAAGTTGCAGTCTTAATCAGTAACAGTAGGGGTCGTTCACATATTACGTAATCAATATTTTGGCAATTTTTACCCCCCCCCCCCCCCTCCGTAATCAACCGTAAGCATTTGAAAGCCCCCCCCCCCCCCCCCCCTCGGCTGATTAAGTAATATGTGAACGACCCCTTATTGTTCTATTGCCAAGAATTGGTAATCATCTGCAAGAGTCAAGACTTGGAAGTATTTAGGAACCAAGTCAACAAAATAAACGGTAATTTAGAGAGAATAGCCGTCACATAATTTCTGCCTCATTAGCTGATCTGCAGGTACTATTTAGCAAATATCTCTCCTAACTGCATGTGTTGTTCAGGAGAGCTGTACGTGCTTTTCCCAAACTCTTTTATGTCTGGTAGAAATGTCAACAAAAGGGAGGGGGAAAAGTCAATACACATACGTTGTATTATTACTCAGTCGCTGAGTGCCCTATAATTGTAACAATTTAGTATGACGTGCTATTATCGTTGGTTCGAAGAATACATCAATATTGGTGTTCATTTTTTAAATGAAGAATTTGATGTACTTATGTCCAGAAAAAATGGAAAATTAAGTTTCTCAGATAACCGATGTATCAAGCACAAAGAGTTTATTCATATTAACTAGATCCACCATACGGTAATACTTATCGTGCAGAGACCCCGGTAACGGTATCCTAGTAGTAGTATTATGAAATCGGTGCCTTTTATCAGGAAGATATATATTGAGATTAGGGACGTTGGGGCATTATCAGGATTTAGCAATTAAGATAAAATGTAGATTACCTTAAGAACGACAAATTTCTACCATAAATTTAGTCAAAATTGTGATTAAAATTGTTGTAAACCAAATTTTTGGAGACTAAATTTTTCGGCGACTAATTTTAAAGCAGACCACAATTTCAATAGAGCATAATATATGACATGAATATTATTGAGCTTACATTGTAATAATTAATATAATGACATCACCGTTCCTACTGCTGAACTACTTTGACTATTACATGTGTAATCCACTGCTTTTATGCTTTCACATTATCTTACTTCCTTTTCCCATCAGACAGTATCTGCATCTAGTTTAACTCATTGAAAAAAATTATGTGAAACGACACCTTCTAGAATTTAACCTTTAAAACCGCTGCTATATATGTGCGAAATCGGAAATAAATCGGTAGCTAAATAATGGAAAAATCAAAGATAATAATGAAGGTATAATGATTTTCTATGTTTTTAAACGAACATGATTGAAAGTTGGAACTATGCCGCTAGAGTGCCGCCATATTGCTGCCATAGTGCCACGAGAATGCCACCATAGTGATTACACGAGAATGCCGCCATAATGCCACGAGAGTGCCTCGACAGTGCCTCGAGAGTGCCGCGACAGTGCGATCGGGATCCGGATGTATGACCGAAAATTTATTGGGAACCAAATTTATTGACCTTAAGGTGGTAAAATCTCTCCCGAACTTATTTTTCGCTGAGGAACGTAATAATATCCACGGGAAATTTTATCATCTCATTTAATTAATCGAATTATGAAACATTAATTACAATGTGCACGTTTCCCTGATTTGAAGGATACTGTCGCGTTGTGAGCAACGCGTTTTCATTTTCCGTAAGCCCTTTTAACAGTGAAACACCACTGCCCACAGTAATTGAGGAATTAAACTAAATCTCTTGACTCTTTTCAGAGTCATAGGAGAACTTTTCCGTCATGTTTGGCCTATTTTTTGCTCAAATTGTCATGAATCATGCTATTTTTTCATGTTAGGCTTTTATATAATATCCGTTTTTCTTGTATTTCAAGCCAACGTTTCATACAATAAATTTCCGAAATTCTGTTGCCCCGGAATGCCGGGTCTCAAAGTTATAAATTTAACCTTTTTCCGAACAATTCATCCACAAAATGACAGTGCACTTCCTCCACAGAGCACGGTATTCTGGGGTTTTATTGAGTAGGAACAAATTTGTATTTTTAAATCTTCCCAAACAACAAAGTTTTGACCGTTTAACACCAGAACAATATGATGTTTGTAGCCCTCGTATTTCTAATCGGAACTGTTGGAGCAGGTAATCAAACATATCATTATAATTTATAAAAGCTTTTGATGTTTATCACTCCTAATTGTTAATATCATACAGTAGATATCCTTGCTGTACGGCTAGTTAAACAAGGAATTGAAACTGTGGGGCTCCGTACAGACCAACCTACCTGTGGCTAAAGCTCTAATACACAAAAACATTACATTCTACTTTTGATATTGTAAGACATTGTATCCTTATTAGTATAGTATTCACTGACCGAGCGAAAATGAAACGCATTCCATTCCCTGTAAGTTGAAACTCTCTTCTGTGAACAATAAAAATGATAAATAACACTTCAGGTTCAACTTCTGAAGAATGCCCGAGAATCCTAGATGCGGCCGGAATATCGAAGATGTTTGCCCCAATGGTAGCACATAGCATACATTCATTGACACTAGAGGACATCCGTTACTTTTTCAAGGAGGATGCTACGGAGGAAAATGGCGTCCCAACGGGTAATTCGTATATTTTGATAAAGATATGTATCTTTCTCTTGCCAAATAGATACGACGGTTGTGGCCAATTACCATTATAATGCATGCTATTTATAGTTAATATGAATCGGTTTCCCAATTAAAATTAGTGAAGTGAACGACATTATTTAAGATACATGATATTTCAGTAAATATTGATCTGATGAGCGACACGAGGATTCTACCCAACGCACCGTTAGCAGGGTATGATGAAGACTTCTCGACACAGAGCATGAAGACATTCGACTTGGTAAGTGTGGTGAACAGTAACGAGGGAGATACGTTGAGCGTTTTAGCTTCAGAGACTTAATGAGGCATTATTGTCCGACTACTTGAATATTAAATTTGTTCAGTGCTCAAATAAAACTCTCAGCACCTTCATACTGACCAATTAATATTTGCGCAGGTGATGAGGAACATGAATCGAACCTGGTGGGGAATTACCAATTTCAACACCCTCGATAAACTGACCCACGCTTTTCATATGGCTGAGGTCTGGGACAGCGCCGCCGAACAGTACAGATTGGTAAAACGACTACTGGACCCTGAGTCTGATATCTGTGGTTGTGTAACCAATGTTGCAGAGAACGATATCCTGAACTATCTGAATCTCATGGCCTTCAAGATCAAGTACCCTGGAATTACCTCTGGAAACAAAACCCTTACAGATCATTGTGAGTAATTCGTCGTAATCAAGGTCGTACCCACATAACAGGGTATGTAAGGACCAGTATATAGTATACTAGAAACCCGCTAGTCGAAAGCTTTGTTCGAGGAAATTTTAAAAATCAGTTATGTTTTAATTTCTCTTCATCATACAGCTCTGTTATACAGTAGACATAATGGAATTTATTTAACAATGGCGACAGCGTTGTTAGTATTCGGATTCCCAAAACGATACTTTTTACCGCATCAAAAAATACCAATCACAACTAAAGTTATGAATATAAGTCATAGCGTGAGCGTAAATGTGAGCTAGTTTTGAAATTATGACGTAGCATACAGCATAACAACGCGCGTAGTTATGATGTTCTTGCTCGCGCACGTGCATTTTAACGTTGCTACGCAACAGCGCAGTAAACCTTTTCTAAAATAACGACATTATTCTAACGGTTATTTTACCTCACTTCCGACGTTAATTATAAAAAATCTAAAGCCTAAATCAAAATTCTAAGAATGCTATAGCCTATTCCTATCCTTTTTCTACAACCCTGCTAAAAATGGCGAGGTTTCAACTCCATTTGCGAGCTGGGTTTGGCATAAATTATAATTTCAGACCTCGAATCTAGAGAGAGACGATCAGCTGACTTTGACCTGTACGACATAGAATCACGCTACCATATGAGATATGCCTTGACATTAAGTGGCGAGGGGTTACAAGCGGACTTTGATGGAATTGACTTTGATCTCTCCGATATTGAGGTAAGCTAGATATGTATAAACATAATCGTATCTCTTGCAAGTTTTTTTTGTAATAACGACACATGTGGTTATTGAAAATGCTCTTCTTATTGACAACTCTTACAACCCCAGCTGCTGAAAGATATAGCAGAGAAGCTGGTAGACGATGAGGGAGTTGTGACAGTGCACGCGGACAGCGCAGAACACTGGGAAGTGTGGAGGAAGATGGTGAAGCATGGTATGGAGGAGTCAGGATACTACGACCTGGCTGTGTTCATGTTCTGCATGCTCAACTAGATCCGGACTATGGGGTTTTGACACTAAGAATTGTATGTTAATGATATAATAATAAGATATCAAGATATGGACACTTTTTGTTACATTTTATCGCAGGGTATAAATTATGCAATTATATAAGGGGTTAACAATAACCTTACTTTGATTTGATAAAGTAGTATTAAAACCATGGCCATTATACTTTGAGATTTTCTTTGATTGTAATTTGGGAAAAAATTCATTGAATTTGATGCAAGAATTTAACTTGTTTTTGAACTAAATGAAGAAATATAAATTAACGAACTTACTAAATTTACAATATAATATTAAAAGAGACTACAATGTATTCCGATACTGTACCAATTAGAGATGAATCTAACATATTGAAATATGAGAAAGCGATATGTAGCTCAGTCTATGTCTACATAGCTATAAGAAAGCCAACAAGCCTAACGTAATCATAGCGATAATAATTTGGGCACAACAGAAGTAATTATTCAAGCTATTAAGCCTCTTCATATCAGTCCGATGCTGATTATCTCTTGAATGAATTTAATTATAAATTAGTCTCACAATAATTATCAGCAGATGAAGAAGCCAATTCCTCTACGAGCCCACTACACCCAGTGCCACTCGAGTCGGCAACACTCTGTGACATTGTTTGACATTGTCCATTTTCAAATGTCCCGTTCGCCATCTTCGAAGCACGCACCATCCTCAGCCTATAAGCTGCATCACTACTAGCCTGCATCCCTGAAAATCCCGGTCTCATGCTATCGTGAAGGTCGTTTAGTCTAAAGGATCTGCAGGTAATAACCATGTTGCACCACAACCGGAACCGTCTCATCCTGCAGTAGTAGAATACTGGATTGAGAGCTGCGTTTACCACAACACTCTCCATCTTGGCAATGTGCCAGGAGTACCAGAACATGAAGCGAGTACCAAAGTAAACCCCTGGATACTTCACCCCGAAGAACCTACTGGTCATGTTGTGCATCATGTTCACAAAAAGGGGGAGGTTACACACCAGAAACAGACTGCTGAACATCACTATTGTTATGCTTGCTCGGTCTTTCCACATCTGAATCACCTTGGCTCTCGGACTTCTATCACCCTTGACACTCCGACTTACAGACTTTTTAGCAGAGAAATGCAACTTGAGAACTGATACCATGAGGGTTACGAAGGTTAAAATGGGAGGAAGTCCCACCATGACCAGGTTCACAGCGTGCTCGAACTTCATCTCAAAGTTGTAGTAACAGTAGGCCCCATCCCAGGAGTACTTGAACTCGCCCCGCAGAGGAGGAATCTTGTACTGGAGAACTGGGATCAGGATCAGGATCACCAGGTATCCCGCCACACTTCCCATTACTGTTCTTATCCGTATCTTATAGAAGGGCTTCACTATTGCTACTGTTCTCAGGGTGCTCAGAAGCAGGACTAAGAATATTGACATTTTCTGTAGGATGGTGAACGTTGTCTCCCAGAGAGCACAGAACAGGTAGTTGTTGAACAGTCCTGGTTTCCGCCCCCTGAACATTGCTATGGCAACCGGCAAGTGAGAGAAGGAAGTGATGATGTCAATGCTGCAAATTATTATGTAAAGCAACGTGACCCGATCTTTCTTGGTCATTGAAGTGAAGTAGAAGACTCCTAAGATGTTGCCAGGGATACCGATCAAGGTACAGAGGAGTAGGAGGAAACCTAGCGAATAGTCGAGGGGGACGAAGGGAGTTTTCATGTCAGGATATTTTATGTTGGGATAATCTTTGACGTGGGGGTTGTATACGTCGTTCATTTCGACTGGATCTGCTAGGTCAACTGTTGAGTTCATACTTCATAGTTCTGGGGCCATCAATGGTAAGGGAAGTCAGAAATACTTTGGTCTTTTTAGTCCACACTCAGTTGAGGTAATGAGTTGATCAAACGAGAGGGCAACGTGTTTCAGTAACGTCAGAAGGGTGAATAGAGCTAGTTTAATATGGGTTCTAAACCTGACCACCCACGATGTGAAACTCAAAGTGGCGTTTCAGCATTACTCTCATTGTTAGGGAAATTTAGACAAATTTGTACCAGAAAGGTTGTTGTACGGAATCGCTCAGTCAGCAATTATGTGATCATGTGCCCATTAGTATAGTTATTATGGTAATAATATGTGGGATCAGTGGTCTCCTAGGGGCTATCTTATTGGCGTAATAACATTAACCATGCGCGCTTTCGAATGTCGTTTGACTCCTTAGGCAATTCGCTGGATCATTCATATTGAGCACAGCCCAATACAATGTCTCCTACTTCATATTCAAGTATAGTTACTACTGATCGTCTACACTCTACATCATTACTCAAATTACGAAGACTCGAGGACTGAGGAGTCTACATGGCCCAACTCTCATCCTACACTTAGACTCGACATATCGTAAAACACTGATCAATTATTATACATCAGATAATCTCCTCGACAGCTTCAAGATACCTATCTAGCCTCAAACACCTATTTAATGATGTTACACGTATACATCTACTGTCTGAACAATATGAAAAATACATATATATATAATATATATAATAAATAGTTGTTGCTTAGTTGCTTGGTTTCCCAAAGAGAGTGCTCGTCTGCAGTTAAGCAGGAGCATTATAATTCTGCCCTGATGATTGGTATTGTTTTATACATATCATGAAACGGATCGTTTGCCCGCCAATTTGATTTGTTTCAATTGTTCGAATTATATATATATATATATATATATATATATATATGTTTATATATAAACAATGTCAGCCAAGCTGCATTAGACAAAACTGTCATTAATCTCTCGTCCAAAACAGTTACAAATGCTCATAAGTTTGTCTTCCACCTTGGAGAATCATTTGCAGTTACTCCTTCTAAAACGAACAGAGATAAACTAGTAGAAGATGTAAACTCCTGGGCAAACTCACTTAGAATGAGTTTCGTCCTCAGTAGAGTTGTAATCCCCACCCAAAATGTAGAAGAACATGAGAAAACCCTTGACCAGAAGGTAAAGCAAATGGAGAAAGTTCTAGGAATAAAAACCTCAAAGAAGAAGAATTTCTCTAACAGTGGTAATCATGCATTAGAACTGTTCATCAGCAATGTCAAGAAACAGATATCTAATCACCCTAGAAAACCAAAGCCAGCTCCTAGGAATGTAGACAAGGAGACTACAAAAGCAATCCAAGAGCTCAAAAGCTGGGATGATGCTGTAATTCGATTATTTGATAAAGGGACTGGGTTCTTTGTGTTAGACAAATCAGACTACATCAATAGAGTAGAAGCTGCTCTAAAAGATCAGAGCACTTTCAAACAAGTATCGGATCAACAAGAACAGATCCACACAACCATCATCACCATCAAAGAGTGGGTTCTGAAATACTCAGCAGATGCTGACTGCCCTGGCATGACCCCAAACTTTATGGAATGGGTAACACCTAGTGAAGAGGAAAATGAACCTGGAGTAAACTACATGAACCTGAAAGCTCACAAACCAGAGAAAAACTACCCTGGGAGACTTATCAGCACTGGATGTAACTCTTACAACAAGAACCTCTCAATATTCACAGCAGAAGAACTAAAGAAGGTAACCCTGCCCCACTGCCTCATGGATTCTAATGATCTACTTATGAAGATGAAAGAACTCAATGAGTCAGGAAGATTGACTGGGAAGACCATCTACCACGTTACATTTGATATTGTAAACATGTTCCCCAGCATTTCAAAGGAGATTGGACTACCAGCCTGTAGAACCTTACTAGACCAAAGAAGTACTAAACTTTTCTCCACAGACTGCGTTATGGAAGCTTTGGAGATAACCCTGGATAACAACATCACTGTTTTCAATGGCAACATGTATGTACAGACAAGTGGAACTGCGATGGGTCCAAATAATGCTTGCCAGTATGCAGACTCAGCTCTCAGCCCCTTGGACAGTAAGATCGTGGAGAGCCAAGAAATCACAACCCCTGAGTTCTATGGCAGATACCGTGACGACATATACATCACCTGGACTGAGTCACTGGAGAAGCTAGACCAGTTCCTACTTTGGCTCAATCAATACCATCCAAACCTCAAGTTTACAATGTCGACACCTTCTACAGAGGGGACTGAATTTCTAGACCTGTTTATTTACTCGAAAAATTGCAAGCTAGAAACTAGGACGTACTGCAAACCTAGTGATGCCCATAGCTATTTACTCCCACAATCCTGCCACCCTACACACATAGCAGAGAATATTCCATATGGAGTAGCACATCGAGTGTTCAAAAACTGTTCAGAGGAAGAAGAGTATTTGAAATGTAAAATTGAATTTAGTGAATATCTAGAAGATAGGAATTACAATAAAGATCTTATCCATAAATCCTTTGAGAAAGTTGAGTTACTTAAACGGGATGATCTGATTTCAAAAAACCTTACAAGCTCTAATAGTAAGAAGAGTGAAAGATGTTTTCCTTTAGTTTGTGATTTTGACCCTAACTTACCTCCAATTGGTAAAATAGTTAACAAGAATAAATTTATCCTTGGCCTAGACCCCCTTTTAAAGTCTGTGATCCAGCCTAGTAAAGTATTTGTTTCATATCGTGGTAATAAAACTATCAAAGAAACTTTAGTTCCGAGTAAACTTTCAGAAGATCGTAAGTATCATGAAGATAGTAATGTTATAACTTTAAACTCTAACACTGAAAATGTGGCTCTGCCTACTAGTATAGAAGAGGGGGGATGTTATCATTGTAACTCCAGATGTAAAGCCTGTAGAATGTATATTTGTGAATCAAAAACAGCTCAGAGCTACCACTCGGGGTACACTGTTAACATCATTGGACAACTAGACTGCAACACAGTAGGGGTGTGCTATCTAGTAAGGGATAAAGTCTGCAGACGTGCTTCAGTAGGAAGCACAGTTAACAATTTTAAGACCAGATGGCAGAACCACAAATCACATATTAGGAAAGCGGTTAGGAGTTGTGAAATTTCTTGTCATTTTAACGATAACCAGTTCCATAATCTTACCAAAGAGCCCTTAAAAACGTTTGACAATGAGTTATCTGATCAGATAGAGGTTAATATTTTTGAAAAGCTAGATTTTATAAAATGTTTAACCTTAGAAGATAGAAGTAGGGTTGCTAAAGAAAGAGAATCATTTTGGCAAAACCAGCTTATGACCCTCAGTGATTTTGGAGGACTTAATAAACGTAGTGCTCTTAATGAAATAAAAAATTGACCTTTATATGATATGCTTTAATATTAATCTTTCCACAGACACTTGCATTTTGATGTTTACTTTCACCTCTGCATCTTTTGTTTATATCTTATGATTGAATGAGACTTACTCACAAATTTCCCATCTCAGTATTGATCTATTTTTGTCATGTTTTTAATTTACTTCATAGAACAGTTATTTTAATAAACTTGCTTTCAGAATGAGACATGTAAAGATTACACAATCGATAGCTTAATGTGAAATTCGTGTTTTACTGTTTCACTGAATGTCTCAAATATATATATATATAATATATATCAAAGTCAGGGGTGTGCCCAGGGGGGGGGGGCGATGCAGGCGGTCGCCGCCCCCTTTTTGAAATGTTGACCTATAATTTTTGTTAAAAATTGCTTTTTACAGCAACAAAATATTTGTATTAAACATTTTATAAAAATTTTCACAAAAACATTAAACGACATCAAACACAAGTATTATTTTTTAAACAAAAATACTAAATTCGAACTAATATAATATAATGAAAGAAGACTGTTACACATGCCTTCTGCATACATTTTCCATGGGATGGTTGCTCCAATTCTAGGTAGCCACTCCTTCATGGTTAGGTGGGAATCGATGAGGCTCGTGCCCCATGAGGCTCGAGATCCAATGAAACGTTGTAACCGTCATCATTCATGATTAATGGTCATTACTTTACCAGCATTCAATTGAAATTGGGAAGGTTGAAAATGGATTAAACATTAAACGTAACATGACTTACATGAATGCTAATATTTCCAGAATACAGTCAGAAATGGCATCATATTAAGAAACAGTTCAAGCTCAAAAGAGTCAAGAGATTAGAGAGAGGCAGATTAATATGGGAAAGAGTAGCTAAAAGTATCTACTTTGATCTAGTATCTTCATGTACAATGTTAGATGACTGATGATGAGCCAATTGGCATCTAGGCTGATAAAGTTCAGAAATTGAACCTCAATCATAATTTATAATTATATCAGAATCATTGGACATCACGATCCAGTACCAAATAGCGTACACTCAATCATACTACCACTCTTCAGACTGGAGATATCCGAAATAACTTAAAATTCGTGCCATCTTTAATCTTAATTTGTCCAATGTAATGTTTCTAATGACCATGTTTGTTATCAACTGCTTTGAACCTTCTGTATTGATATCCTATTGGTTTAGCATATAATTCAGTTAAAAATTTTCCCGGGGCTGCACCCCGGGCCCCTGCTGCTGCTCGCGGAGCCTACCCCTTTCAATAATCCTGTGCACGCCCCTGATCAAAGTACCCCTAACTTCACATGCTACAATACACAGACACACTGATAACACACTGGTAACACATTGCACTGGTAACACACTGGTAACACACTGGTAACACACTGGTAAAACACTGGTAACACACTGGTAAAACACTGGTAACACACTGGTAACACGCTGGTAACACACTGGTAACACACTGGTAACACACTGGTAACACGCTGGTAACATACTGCTAACACACCGGTAACACACTGGTAACACACTGGTAACACACTGGTAAAACACTGGTAACACACTGGTAACACGCTGGTAACACACTGGTAACACACTGGTAACACACTGGTAACACGCTGGTAACATACTGCTAACACACTGGTAACACACTGGTAACACACTGGTAACACACTGGTAACACACTGGTAACACACTGGTAACACACTGGTAACACACTGGTAACACACTGGTAACACACTGGTAACACTCTGGTAACACACTGGTAACACACTAGTAACACACTGGTAACACACTGATAACACACTGGTAACACAAACCTGTTGTCCAGTAGAGATGTGTTCTTGATACAGCTTGTGTGCATAATCTACAGCTGGCTGGTAACCGTGTTGAGCTACTTCTGTCAGGATCTCCCCGCGGAACAACCTGAGATACAGTTAAATTAAAATAGTTTTATCAAGCCGAGGAAATTATAAACTGTTTCGTCATCGCAATAGCTCGAAGTTAAATATAAATCGCACTAATTTCCAGTCGTACCCTGTTTGAAAGTCATCGTCTTCTTTAGGCTCCAATCCTATCCTCTTAACGACAGGTTCCATTATGTGGAGGAAGAAGGAGTTGATCTCGTCACCGTACTCTTCAAGCACCGCTAGCTTACCTGGGAATCGTAGTGTTAATTTCTATACTTTTAGTCTTTAAAATATTAAAACTGTATTCAAAACAGGACGGTAAATCTTCAAATCTTACAAGAAGTCATCTAGCAAAAAAATAGCTCAGCGAGGAGAATATTTACCAATGATTCTAGAAAGTGAGGTAAGACTTCCTGTAAGAGTGTATAGAGATAACTCATTCCTCAAGTACAAGCTTGCTTCAAGCGCCAGTGTTATATCCACATCATCTACTACCCTGTAGGATTAAAATATACAGCTTATATAGTACTGAGTAAAGTTGAAGATATAAGTTAAAAAGTTTCACTGGACGCAGTGATAGTGATGTTATTCTCCACAAAAACACAAACTATCATAATTATGTTATTATATCAATTACTACACTGTGGTAAGTAAAACTTGAGTACTTACTGGCTGATGGACGTCAAATCGTCTATAATCTTCATCCTGTCCACTTCATGAAAGACTGTATGACTGTTGTGTAGTAAATCTATAATCTTGCCCCAGTTCTCCGCATCGTAGTTGACTCTGTAGAAGCCTCTTGCTAGAGAGTTTCCCAGGATCCACTTGGTGTTCTCTTTTGTCTCAAACTCTACCGAGTCTTCAGATACCCAGAGGAACTTGTTGCTTCCAGTTTCCTCGTTTGTTTGGTACCAGAACGGTATGTGCCATTTATAACTGGAATTTGATGATTATGTTACAGTTACTTACAGAGAGTAGACGGGCGGCATGTCACTCTAGACAAAATCAACAGATGTTTTGAAAATATACCCTTGATATATTAACTCACCCGAGGGGGGACTCAGTCTCCACTTCGCCGGGGAACTTGTATTTCGTCTGAGAAATCTGGACTTTGTTTTCTCCAGTTAGTTTCACATGAACTATAGGGTAACCCATCTGTAGCGTCCAACTTCCCATGAACTCGCCGATGTCTATTGCTTGATCCATGTGTTTAGCAGTCTAAAGAGAAAAAAGAGATGAGAAGGTTTAGTATGTGTTAATATTAATCGCGCATCGCTGAGAAGATTTAAAAAGGTAAACATATTAATTATAGATATTTATTGTATGATAATTTCTCATTTCAGCAATTTCGACAGTTAATCGATGTTCATTCCTGAAACCGTAATGGCATCTGTCGACGTTCTTCAAAGAAAGCATCTGAGACAGATAATCAACACCTATTGGCCTACGGTTATCAGTAACGAGAATTTATATAAGAGATGTAATGTCAGACCCCTTACTGAAAGGATCAAGAAAGCAAGATGGAAGATGCTTGGGCACGTTCTCAGAAACGGTGATGACACTCCCGCTTTCTTATCTTTTAGATTTGCATGTTTAGGATGTTTTGACTACAAAGGAAGGAGGGGCAGACCTCGTTCAAATTTATTTGATTTATTATTTAAAGACATTATGACAAAGAATATTATTGTGATTGTAAATAAAAGATTTAGTTTAAGTAATTTCAACGATTTAGTGTACAAAGCTCATGATAGACGTTTATGGAGAAGCTATGGGTGAGTCGAGACTACTCGGCCACTCGATTTTATGATTTATTTTCTATTATCTTGTGTTTGCTGTATATAGTTGATTAATAATATTAATAATAATCGAAAGATTTGTAGATACACATAGTCTCTACACCTTTACCCTCTGGTCCCTAGGGTCAGCTGATCCCGGGCCAGAGGAAAACTACCGACTGCCAAGGTTTGACGCCTAGGCAATCGAGACCTCTTATTGAGACCCTTTATAATAATAATAATATTTAATTGCCATTTAACTGGCGATGTGTCGACACATCATTTACTCAGTGCACAGATTGAAATAATATAAATTAACCATGCAGGTGCGCGCGCGCGCTTCAATATCTAAGACATCGCGCGTTACATAAATCATTCAGAAGACGTTTCCCTGAATTTTGTAGGGGATTTCAGTAGATGAATCCATAAATTTGGAACATGGGCACATCGCAGCAGTAGATGAATCCATAAATTTGGAACATGGGCACATCGCAGTATTGGCCGTATTTGAGTGCTGGGAAGGCTCAGTTCGGTTTTCTAAGATGGATATAGCCGTAAGCTAGGCCTAGGAGCCATCAAAAGTCGTATAAAATTACCCATGGAATGACCAGAAATGAACGAAAATGAACATTCTTCTCAAAGTGCTCAGAATGGTTTAAAATGGGTCGGAAAGTGTTTATATTAGTCCTAGGACCACTCAAACCAAGTTTGGGAATCACTGCATGTCTAGAACCGATGTTACCAATGTTCCAAAATGTTCCAATTTTGGCACAATAATCCTCCTGAGAATCCAGATTTTTGGAACATGGGCACATCGAAGTATTGGCTGTATTTAAGTGCTGGGAAGCCTCAATTCGGTTTTCTAAGATGGATATAGGTAAAAACTAGGCCTAAGAGCCATCAAAACTCAAATAACATTACCCAGGTTCATGGAATGAACGAAAATGAACAAAAATGAATATTGTCCTAAAAATGCTCAGAACGGTTTAAAATTGGTCGGAAAGTGTTTATATTAGTCCTAGGACCACTCAAACCAAGTTTGGGAATCACTGCATGTCTAGAACCGATGTTACCAATGTTCCAAAATGTTCCAATTTTGTCACAATAATCCTCCTGAGAATCCAGATTTTTGGAACATGGGCACATCGAAGTATTGGCTGTATTTAAGTGCTGGGAAGCCTCAATTCGGTTTTCTAAGATGGAAATAGGTAAAAACTAGGCCTAAGAGCCATCAAAACTCAAATAACATTACCCAGGTTCATGGAATGAACGAAAATGAACAAAAATGAATATTGTCCTAAAAATACTCAGAACGGTTTAAAATTGGTCGGAAAGTGTTTATATTAGTCCTAGGACCACTCAAACCAAGTTTGGGAATCACTGCATGTCTAGAACCGATGTTACCAATGTTCCAATTTTGGCACAATAATCCTCCTGAGAATCCAGATTTTTGGAACATGGGCACATCGAAGTATTGGCTGTATTTAAGTGCTGGGAAGCCTCAATTCGGTTTTCTAAGATGGATATAGGTAAAAACTAGGCCTAAGAGCCATCAAAACTCAAATAACATTACCCAGGTTCATGGAATGAACGAAAATGAACAAAAATGAATATTGTCCTAAAAATGCTCAGAATGGTTTAAAATTGGTCGGAAAGTGTTAATATTAGTCCTAGGACCACTCAAACCAAGTTTGGGAATCTCTGCATGTCTAGAACCGATGTTACCAATGTTCCAAAATGTTCCAATTTTGGCACAATAATCCTCCTGAGAATCCAGATTTTTGGAACATGGGCACATCGAAGTATTGGCTGTATTTAAGTGCTGTGAAGCCTCAATTCGGTTTTTTAAGATGGATATAGGTAAAAACTAGGCTTAAGAGCCATCAAAACTCAAATAACTTTACCCAGGTTCATGGAATGAACGAAAATGAACAAAAATGAATATTGTCCTAAAAATGCTCAGAACGGTTTAAAATTGGTCGGAAAGTGTTTATATTAGTCTTAGGACCACTCAAACCAAGTTTGGGAATCTCTGCATGTCTAGAACCGATGTTACCAATGTTCCAAAATGTTCCAATTTTGGCACAATAATTCTCCTGAGAATCCAGATTTTTGGAACATGGGCACATCGAAGTATTGGCTGTATTTAAGTGCTGGGAAGCCTCAATTCGGTTTTCTAAGATGGATATAGGTAAAAACTAGGCCTAAGAGCCATCAAAACTCAAATAACATTACCTAGGTTCATGGAATGAACGAAAATGAACAAAAATGAAAATTTTCCTTAAAGCGCTCAGAATGGTAAGAAAATGGTGGCAAAAGTCAATATTTTCGTCCAACAGAGTCTTAAAGTTGCATTCAGAATTATGTACAATTAGCACACGTACCTCCAAGAGAAGGCAGAAATTATTTTATTGGGCAACTATTTTGGTTTTAATAATCCCCCAATATATTGATATAAATTTTTGACATCATTAGCTGTATTTGTTCGTTGAGGGATGAAGGTTGCGGGTGAAAGGGTTGGTTGAGCGAGGTAGGTTGCTGGTGAAGGGGTTGGTTGCGTTAGGTAGGCTGGTGGTGAATGAGTTGGTTGAGGGATGAAGGTTGCTGGTGAAGGGGTTGGTTGAGTGAGGTGGACTGCTGGTGCTTCTTTGAACTGGTAGATAAAGAGGTAGGCTCATCAATTTAGTGAAGGGATTCATTGTCGTTGTAGTTGTTGTGGTTAACAGAGAGGGAAAATGATTTGTATAACTTAATTATCTATTTATTCTCTTCTTATTCATTAACAAGCTTGCTAAGTTAATCCTATTGCTGATGACCTGATCTGATCTTACGCCTCTACATCCGATCACACCAAATAAGATCGGATAACCTTGCTACGCTCGGATCACCTTATTCAGATCACATCTTTATTTGCTTCCACACATCTATTACACGAAGTGATGTGATACAAATGAAACTGATGTGATCTAAATATAGGGTGTACATTGTGTGACTGTCTGACTGTTTATGGAATCACTGCATGCCCAGAACTGATACGAGGGGTGCAGAATACCGAACCATCTTAACAGTACAGTAAATGAATAGTCTGTTGATTGGCCTTATGACTCTTTCGTAAACTCTTTGGAATTGCTCAGAGCGGTTTAAAATTGGTCGGAAAGTGTTTGTATTGGTCCTAAAACCACTCGAATTGGAACATTTTGGAACATTGGTAACATCGGTTCTAGACATGCAGTGATTCCCAAACTTGGTTTGAGTGGTCCTAGGCCCAATATAAACACTTTCCGACCAATTTTAAACCATTCTGAGCACTTTGAGAAGAATGTTCATTTTCGTTCATTTCTGGTCATTCCATGAACCTGGGTAATATTATTTGACTTTTGATGGCTCTTAGGCCTAGTTTTAACCTATATTCATCTTAGAAAACCGAACTGAGGCTTCCCAGCACTTAAATACAGCCAATACTTCGATGTGCCCATGTTCCAAAAATCTGGATTCTCAGGAGAATTATTGTGACAAAATTGGAACATTTTGGAACATTGGTAACATCGGTTCTAGACATGCAGTGATTCCCAAACTTGGTTTGAGTGGTCCTAGGACTAATATAAACACTTTCCGACCAATTTTAAACCGTTCTGAGTATTTTTAGGACAATATTCATTTTTGTTCATTTTCGTTCATTCCATGAACCTGGGTAATGTTATTTGAGTTTTGATGGCTCTTAGGCCTAGTTTTTACCTATTTCCATCTTAGAAAACCGAATTGAGGCTTCCCAGCACTTAAATACAGCCAATACTTCGATGTGCCCATGTTCCAAAAATCTGGATTCTCAGGAGGATTATTGTGACAAAATTGGAACATTTTGGAACATTGGTAACATCGGTTCTAGACATGCAGTGATTCCCAAACTTGGTTTGAGTGGTCCTAGGACTAATATAAACACTTTCCGACCAATTTTAAACCGTTCTGAGTATTTTTAGGACAATATTCATTTTTGTTCATTTTCGTTCATTCCATGAACCTGGGTAATGTTATTTGAGTTTTGATGGCTCTTAGGCCTAGTTTTTACCGATATCCATCTTAGAAAACCGAATTGAGGCTTCCCAGCACTTAAATACAGCCAATACTTCGACGTGCCCATGTTCCAAAAATCTGGATTCTCAGGAGGATTATTGTGCCAAAATTGGAACATTTTGGAACATTGGTAACATCGGTTCTAGACATGCAGTGATTCCCAAACTTGGTTTGAGTGGTCCTAGGACTAATATTAATACTTTCCGACCAATTTTAAACCGTTCTGAGCATTTTTAGGACAATATTCATTTTTGTTCATTTTCGTTCATTCCATGAACCTGGGTAATGTTATTTGAGTTTTGATGGTTCTTAGGCCTAGTTTTTACCTATTTCCATCTTAGAAAACCGAATTGAGGCTTCCCAGCACTTAAATACAGCCAATACTTCGATGTGCCCATGTTCCAAAAATCTGGATTCTCAGGAGGATTATTGTGACAAAATTGGAACATTTTGGAACATTGGTAACATCGGTTCTAGACATGCAGTGATTCCCAAACTTGGTTTGAGTGGTCCTAGGACTAATATAAACACTTTCCGACCAATTTTAAACCGTTCTGAGCATTTTTAGGACAATATTCATTTTTGTTCATTTTCGTTCATTCCATGAACCTGGGTAATGTTATTTGAGTTTTGATGGCTCTTAGGCCTAGTTTTTACCTATATCCATCTTAGAAAACCGAATTGAGGCTTCCCAGCACTTAAATACAGCCAATACTTCGATGTGCCCATGTTCCAAAAATCTGGATTCTCAGGAGGATTATTGTGCCAAAATTGGAACATTTTGGAACATTGGTAACATCGGTTCTAGACATGCAGTGATTCCCAAACTTGGTTTGAGTGGTCCTAGGACTAATATAAACACTTTCCGACCAATTTTAAACCGTTCTGAGCATTTTTAGGACAATATTCATTTTTGTTCATTTTCGTTCATTCCATGAACCTGGGTAATGTTATTTGAGTTTTGATGGCTCTTAGGCCTAGTTTTTACCTATATCCATCTTAGAAAACCGAATTGAGGCTTCCCAGCACTTAAATACAGCCAATACTTCGATGTGCCCATGTTCCAAAAATCTGGATTCTCAGGAGGATTATTGTGACAAAATTGGAACATTTTGGAACATTGGTAACATCGGTTCTAGACATGCAGTGATTCCCAAACTTGGTTTGAGTGGTCCTAGGACTAATATAAACACTTTCCGACCAATTTTAAACCGTTCTGAGCATTTTTAGGACAATATTCATTTTTGTTCATTTTCGTTCATTCCATGAACCTGGGTAATGTTATTTGAGTTTTGATGGCTCTTAGGCCTAGTTTTTACCTATATCCATCTTAGAAAACCGAATTGAGGCTTCCCAGCACTTAAATACAGCCAATACTTCGATGTGCCCATGTTCCAAAAATCTGGATTCTCAGGAGGATTATTGTGACAAAATTGGAACATTTTGGAACATTGGTAACATCGGTTCTAGACATGCAGTGATTCCCAAACTTGGTTTGAGTGGTCCTAGGACTAATATAAACACTTTCCGACCAATTTTAAACCGTTCTGAGTATTTTTAGGACAATATTCATTTTTGTTCATTTTCGTTCATTCCATGAACCTGGGTAATGTTATTTGAGTTTTGATGGCTCTTAGGCCTAGTTTTTACCTATATCCATCTTAGAAAACCGAATTGAGGCTTCCCAGCACTTAAATTCAGCCAATACTTCGATGTGCCCATGTTCCAAAAATCTGGATTCTCAGGAGGATTATTGTGCCAAAATTGGAACATTTTGGAACATTGGTAACATCGGTTCTAGACATGCAGTGATTCCCAAATTTGGTTTGAGTGGTCCTAGGACTAATATAAACACTTTCCGACCAATTTTAAACCGTTCTGAGCATTTTTAGGACAATATTCATTTTTGTTCATTTTCGTTCATTCCATGAACCTGGGTAATGTTATTTGAGTTTTGATGGCTCTTAGGCCTAGTTTTTACCTATATCCATCTTAGAAAACCGAATTGAGGCTTCCCAGCACTTAAATACAGCCAATACTTCGATGTGCCCATGTTCCAAAAATCTGGATTCTCAGGAGGATTATTGTGACAAAATTGGAACATTTTGGAACATTGGTAACATCGGTTCTAGACATGCAGGGATTCCCAAACTTGGTTTGAGTGGTCCTAGGACTAATATAAACACTTTCCGACCAATTTTAAACCGTTCTGAGCATTTTTAGGACAATATTCATTTTTGTTCATTTTCGTTCATTCCATGAACCTGGGTAATGTTATGCTACTTTCGATGGCCCCTAGACCTAGCTTGCAAATATATCCATCATTTACAATTGTTTTTGGCACTATTTAGAGCTCATTAGGGCAAATAAATGCATGGCACACTTTTGGCACAATTTTGGCACATGTTCCAAAAATGTTCCAAAAATGTTCCAAAAATCTGGATTCATCAACTCGGGGATTTTGTAGGGGATTTTGCGCGCCGCACGTATGTTACAATATTTATCATTGTAGAATCTACGACGGTAGCCGTCAGAAGTCTCACCGAACTGCTCGTATTTATAGACAATAAGATATGAATAACTTATTAACACATCCAATCCCATTCAGGCCGTCCATCCCAAATTGTTGCGCATTGTTCCTGGGCGTGGCCTGAGTGGGTCAAGACGTCGAAACTTGGTTTTTCTGATGATTTGGGCCAGGTACTAACTATTAAACCACCTAAACATGTTCCAAATACCCCGGAACATAAATCCCCTACAGGGGTAAATATTCTCAGTTTTGATTTGACCTGGATTTCAGCTATTTCGGGATGGGCGTGGCCCCTGGGAGTGGCCTGAGTGGGTTGAGAGTTCGAAACTTGATTTTTCTGATGGTTTGGGACAGGTACTAACTATCTAAACATGTTCCAAATACCCCGGAACATAAATCCCCTACAAGGGTCAAATCCCCGATAAATCTCCTACAAAAATCAAGGAAACGTGCTCTCCATTTAACTATACTGTATAGCGACTTAGTAATTTCCACATCTCGCACACATTTATTGAAATAAGCCTAGTTTTTACTTAATATGCTTAATATTACACATATTAACGGATGGAAATCTCCCTCGAACAATGTTGATCACGTTCGGCATATAATTTGAGTCTATGATTATAATTTATAGCGGCATGAATAATGCTTTCTACACTGGACAATTGATAAATGATGGATAATTGATTTGTGGAAAATGATTTCTGAACTAGTGCTGAATAATGAACAATGTAATAGATACAGCTATGGTGCACTGCCTCAGTTATTATTAACAAGTTATTGTTAGCAAGTAATCTTTATTGGATGTTAAATTTGGAAGCGGTGTTACATATAATCCATTATCCGGGGGCAGATTTTTGAAAACAATGCTTATCTAAAATATAATTATAACTCGTGCAAGTCCGAAATGGGCCGTGTGCTGCTTCTAGGAAGTACATATGACAGTGCATATCAGCACACTGTTGGCTTTCTTAGAGACCTGATGAGTACCAAGCGGAAATCATGATTGCCTGGTAAGCAAGTTCACAGTTCACACTCATTCCGAATGGCGGTAGACTATTACAGCTACACTGCAGCTTACACTGTAGTGGGAATCGCGTCACTGATATCCTCCGAGCATAATTACCAGGATAAATCCTGTACCAATCACAGCTTGGTGACCTGGCCTGCCTGCCTCAGACGGGGTTTGAACTCTGAATATCTCAAAAATCAAATTTCATTTCAGTTTCATATAAAATATAAGGAGCCCCCCACTTTCATGTAGGATTTGATGTGGATTGTGGATGTGGAATGTGGAGTGTCTCCCTCACTTTGATGTGGCACAAATAGAAATGACCTAAACCAGTTGAACATTCACCAAAATAAGTGAAACTTATCAAGATATTTTTCAGCAAATTTATCTGCTGTTCAGGCGGAGAGGGGGGGGGGGCATCTTATCTTGATTAACACTGAATTTATAAAATTGACAAGTACACAAACGATAAACAATTTAATAGTTTACTCATTAACTCATTATCTAATTACCTCGTTAATAGCGGTGTAGAGTTGACCTTGCTCCGCGTTGGAATACTCGTATGTAGTGAGGTAACTGTTGATACCCTCGTAGAACAACTTATCTCCCAAAACTTCGTTCAACATACGTATTATACATGCCCCCTGGAATTAGACAGGTTTACACTTTCATTACATATCAATTTCATAGTTTAGTTAATTGGATTGGCATCACAATATCATCTATGTAGCAATACTACTACTGTACTACTATTGTAGTCTCACAGCCTCTAGGGGAACCGGTCACTGTGGCGGAAGTCACTGCGGCGGTGTACAGTCCGGCGGAGGACTACTACTAACTGTACCTAAGACAGAACTTACACATTCAACTTGTTTCTAAGTTTTGTTCGCATTATAAGTTTAATTTTTTCTTTTCTTTTGTATAATTTGTATAATTCTTGTTAGTTTAGTTGTTCATTTTTTTATTCAGGGCTTTGCAGACAATGTAAATCGAGAATATTGAGTTGTTGAAAATCAAAAAGGTAATATAACTTTGTGGGATTTAATCTTACTATATATAAAGCGAGACGATATATATATGTGTATATATCCGTGCCATTTTACTGACACCACGGCATCAACTTTAACGCGACTTTCCGCAAAAACCGTAAAACATATACAACTGAAACTTTTTTGACTGGGTCAAATGCTTTAATGGCCTTCAAATCAGCATGAAAAAATAAAAAATTGGCCAAGGAATAATAATTTTAGTGCCCAAAATTTGGACTCTCAAGTGGTGTCAAAAACGCGAATTAAATAGGTAATAATTATTTTAGTCTCTCGAGTCTTGACACCACTTTAGGGTTAGACGGGTTCCTGCTAGTAATATCTAAATCGCACAAATCATTATCAAGAAGTTACAGCAATCAATAATTCACATAACACTTCTGAGCAGCTTGTCGTCTTTGTTATCAAAGCCAGAGACATGCAGTCGTCCTCCTCCAGTTCAAGGTCTGCCAGGTTCGTCGGAGCTCTAGGGACAGGGTTCTCCTTCCGGCGGACTCTCTGAGCTTGCTTCTTCACCGCTTGTTCACTGGGGAGGAGGAAGCGAGCAGCCTGGGACAGCGAGCCAGTAACGGAGCAGTAGATTCTGTGGTTCTGAGTAATCGTAGTCGCAGCCAGATCGTGGACTTGGGAGAGGGCTTCTCGGACTTCGCAGTCAGCTATGTCGGCACTGTGGTTGTGAGGCTGGGTGACTGACACCAGGGATCCGTTGAGGGTGTAGAGTCGTCCCTTGCATCTGTCGTTCTTCTTCACGCACCTCCAAGCCTGTCGTCCATCCAGAGTCGGCTTTCCATCTTTGGAGTAACGGAAATCACGGTGTAGAAGGTTCTGACTGTTAGCAGTTCTCCCTCTGACCACCTTCACCGTATCTTCATCGAACATCGTTGTAGCTGTTGTACTCAAGTTGTAGTGTTGCAGTACTGGAGATGGTAGTGCTAATGAGATACTCTCCTCAACTTTGATCCGCTTTATATACTGTTTGCCTCTATCATTATCTACGTTTCACTGAGCAACCTCTCTTCTTGGCTACGGTTGATCAGATTCCTGGATGCGATCCCTCGTGACGTGTTCTCATGCCCTTGTTATTACCCATTGCATCTCGGCGCAGTGATATGAGATCTCGCCGTAACAAGCTCATCATGCACTCGCTTCCACCGTTGTGCAATGTGCAGACCGGACGCGATCTGATACGAACTAGAAAGTGGAACAAGAACTGTTCTTAGCAATCACAATGTATATGTTAAACTTTATCCAATTTAATTTTAATTAAAATTAATTTCGAAGTAACTAAGAGGAAAATAGAACTTTTTTAAGCTAATCGATTTTGTTATATTAGCAGTGCTAGGTCTATCTTATAGGTACAGTTTCTAGTGCCGCCGTACTGTCCAAAGTAAAGTGGGTGTCATGTGATCCGCCGTTCCGTCCAACCTTTTTGGAAAGTACCGCCGTACCGGCCTCCGCTGCACCGGGAGGCCGACAAAGGGGGGCCCTCCATTATTAGAGGCCAGATCATATGACGTATAATTAGTGATGTGACGTATAATTAGTGATGTGATCCATCCATGTGATCCATCAGTAGACCCAGAAATGAGCTAGATATAGGGTAGAGTTCACATGTCAATTCTGTAAATCATAGCTGTACATTAAAAAGTAAACATGATCTGACTGCTCGACTCATAGATCACATAAGGGACGGGAGCTCTTGCTAAAGGGGGTTCTCGTATCAAGGGATGTGAGACGTACGTGCCAAAGGCATGCAAGGAGAGTGAGCCGATCAAGTGTTCTTAGGTATATATACTGAAAGATGAAAGACAATAGTATCGCATTCTTACATTCTATCAACATGCCTACCTTCTCCAAATTCATCTCTGGTCGGACAGGATCTCAACAGCTACTTGACTCTGATGGATTCATCTACTGTCGGAAGAAGAACAAGGATTCAGCCCTCACATCTTCCTGGCGGTGCTGCAAGCACAAACTCCCTACGAAGTGTCCGTGTCTCTGCTATCTATCCCTCTCAGACGATTCTCTCCGATTCTCTTTGATGGTTCTACAGATCGGGGAGTCAGAGTCATCGTATTCTCCACGAGCAGGAACATGAAGACACTGTCGACAGGTTGAGTGTTGGCAAGACACCCGCTAAGAGGCGAAGGAATTGCCATACCCAACTCCACGATATCTGTTCATTTTACTCCACATACTCTAGCAAGATCGAGTATTTGTTTTCTGTACCCTCAGTTTTTGGGCACGATATGGAGTAAATTATAATTAATGTATTCAGTATTCAGTATTCAGTATTCAGTATTCAGTATTCAGTATTCAGTATTCAGTATTCAGTATTCAGTATTCAGTATTCAGTATTCAGTATTCAGTATTCAGTATTCAGTATTCAGTATTCAGTATTCAGTATTCAGTATTCAGTATTCAGTATTCAGTATTCAGTATTCAGTATTCAGTATTCAGTATTCAGTATTCAGTATTCAGTATTCAGTATTCAGTATTCAGTATTCAGTATTCAGTATTCAGTATTCAGTATTCAGTATTCAGTATTCAGTATTCAGTATTCAGTATTCAGTATTCAGTATTCAGTATTCAGTATTCAGTATTCAGTATTCAGTATTCAGTATTCAGTATTCAGTATTCAGTATTCAGTATTCAGTATTCAGTATTCAGTATTCAGTATTCAGTATTCAGTAAATTTGATTAATTATCCTACGAAAAAATGTCTATTGACTTGTTAATTTAAATCAAAAGTACGGGGTTAAACTGGGCTAGATATAGGGTAGAGTTCACATGTTCTGTAAATCATAGCTGGTGGATCACATCACTAATTATACGTCACATCACTAATTATACGTCATATGATCTGACCCCTAATAATGGAGGGCCCCCCTTTGTCGTGCAGCCGCTGTACCGTCCTCCGCCGGACTGTACACCGCCGCAGTGACTTCCGCCACTGAGTCCTATACCCAGCCTAATATGTTACATGTAATATTTCCTCATAACATGTATACCACAAGGAGAAGCTTTTAATAAACTTTTAATGGGCGAACTTTATTGTAATCCACCACCCAGAAGATGGCTAATTTGGTAAAGTTTCACTTTATGGTGCTTATAATGGAGGTACAATGTGGTTTATAACCCGGTAACACGCGGGGACCCAGCGTTTTTTAAAACTTTTAATTAATGCTAGGCCAGATGTAGTAAATAGCACTTAATCAAGTCTCCACTCTCCTTGTGCCACTACTTTAATTAAGTACTCATACAGGCGAAACTTTCTTTTGATGTCGACTGTGTAGCTCGAAATACGCTGAATCATGTCGATAAATGAAACAAAAAATAAAAATTCTTGTTCCTCGAATAATATCTAATATAATAAAACCTGTCCCATGAATAATATATCAGAATTTTAATCTTTGTTATGCAAATAGAGGAACGCAACGCTCTATGGTTATGCATAATTCGGACTATTCATAGGTTCATCGAACAAATCTGCTGAATAATTGAGCGAATCTAAAGTATCAAGAATCAGTAAGCAAACCTTTCTGTAAGAAATAGCGTCAAACATCTCCGCAATTGACGCTGGGTTGTTAGCCTCGCTTGAAATTGGGTGAGAGTTTGAGAAGGAGTCAGCACTTAAAGCACGCTGCATTCCATTCTTCTGTAGGTACATTTGCTGTGGGGTGTCGAATGTGAGACAGTGGTTGAGTGGTATGCATTATAATCAGGTACATTTGATCATGTTTACTTACTAGGAGTAGGAGAAAAGAGACAGTTGTTAAAACTCAAGACAAAATTAGAACTCTACATAGCTCTGTACTCACCATGCCCATCTCAGGTTTTACCACATCACTGGCAACGTACTCCATGTAGCTAGCGAACCCTTCATTTAGCCACAGATCATTCCACCACTGAAATAAAGATTTCTCTAAATTCTGCTCTACTAAGACACTTGCTTCAGATATACTACCACACAGTGATATCAAATCAGACTAAATCAGTTAATTTGTTTTATAGACCACGTACCTTCATAGTGACGAGATTGCCGAACCACTGATGGGCCAGTTCGTGCGCAATAACACTCACAACACGTCTTTTAAATGAGTTACTGGTCTCTTTTTTGTCGTACAATATACTGGTCTCTCTGTAGGTAATTAACCCCCAGTTCTCCATTGCACCGCTGTTAAAGTCAGGCACTGCTACCAGATCTGGAGGACATGGTCGCATTATTGACTTGTACTTAATACATGGTTTCTGTAGCATCAGCAACAGAAACTATTTGGAGATTTCCACACTGGTGTGCTAAGATGAAAGCAGAGAGGTTTTAGTGCCTAGGAAATAACGAACTAGCTAGTGGTCTCTCACGATTGCACTAATTTACTGTGCTCGAAACGATTCACCACCGTTATGATATGGAGTTAACTGGAGCTAGCAAGTTTAAGTGCTCAACCTTCCTAACAAGTGGCCAATAAAACCAAACTTGGTCTTCCATTGTTGGATAATATCTAAGGATCAGAAGACTGCAATGAGTACATTTAACCAACACTACTAGTGTTACTAGTGTCACTAGTAACAAATACCTTGTTTAGTAACAATTGTGTAATAAATGTGGGATAAATACCTTGTTTAGGAAGAGGGAATGGAATTCCAAATAAACCCTCGTAGTACTCCAGGAGTTTCTTAGCGCATTCCAAAGCGTACTCAGTCTGGTGTTCCGTTTCCGAGCGAGACCAGATCCGTATCTGGGGAACGTTTCAACTATCCACATTCCAATAGCACAAAACAACCATACGATTGATATTGTTATGAAAGAAATCATAACCCGAATTTACCACACCATTATTGCTAAAATGTATCTTTCTCAAAACGTTTATAGAAACGTTTGGTAACTAATGCAAAACTTACCAGCACATTAGAAGATGTGGTAGTTGATCGACTTGTGAAGTCCATAACCATAAAAGCAACTAAATAAGTACTCATTTTAACACTTTTCTCGAACGTGTCCAACAATAAACCATCCTTTCCGTATGCTACTGTCGCGTTCTTTGGCATGTTACTGGGGCGTGGTTATTGTTAGGGTGGTTGTGTTGCTTATTCTAAACTTTCTGTCAACTAAGGGGGCTGTATCAGGGTTTGATTTTTACATACGACTCAACTGTTGGTCTGTATGGAACCTTCCCGCTTCAAAATTACAAAGATAGTAGATAATATTACTACTATCTATCAAGTAGATATTAATACAATGGACCACATGTAAATATATAAATACCTGAGAGCTGTATGCTCCGTGTCCCTCACGATGGAGATGGTAAATGTGGCTTTATACTGAGGCTCGTCAAAGCAGGGGAAGGCGTGGCGCGCGTACGACGCCTCGAACTGAGTCACTGCTGCAACTCTGAAGTATCACAAAGTAAGCTAACTGTGTTTAGTGTTTAACTGGTGTATCAAATGATTCCAATATATGCACATTTATTTGAATCATAGTAAAATATAAAAGATTTGATTGTTACCTTTTCTCCCCGGAACTGGTTGTGTAATAAGAGCGGTAGAAACCCTTGAGGGCGTGCCGCACCTCCGCCTCGTACTCTATCACCAGTGTGTACTCCTCTTCCTCTAGCTTCGCTCGCAGAGGGATCACTAGAAACTCGTGCTCTCTGAGATAAATGTCGAGTTATACGTTGAATAAATTATATATTTTCTAATATGTATCAAGTTTGAGATCAGAATAATTTTGGGTCCTAGGAACATTTGCTTGTTTACATTAAATTAGGCTTTTCCTCCATCGCTATACATTTTTTGACAGCAAACAACATAATGCCCAAATAATGATTATCGGCTCATACTTACGATACAAAAGAGAAGTCCTCTGTCATAAGCAGGGTCCCGTCCTTCTGCTTCAGTTTAATATCCGTTATGTTTTGGTCGAGTGAGTTCAACACGATACATTTCGTTCTTTTGAGCACCTGGGACATTTCACTCTTTACACAACACTCTTCTCATTACATTCTTATTAACTTTAGTGTTTAAACAATAATTGGTAAGCAAAGAAGATTCAGCATTCAATAGAACTATAAATAGGAACCAATGATATTTACTCCGTTTATATTTACTCCGTTTATGGCTTTCTGACGAATTTTGACGATTGGTAATGTATCAGAACCGCAAATATAATATCAAACCTTTATCTGTATCTCAACTTTTCCTTGGAAAGTTAAGGTGGTAAGATCAGGATATAGCCAAAGATCATAGTGTCTGAAAGAATGTGACGATCAGGTGGTCTATAAACCATATATAAATAACATATTTACAAATTTACATATAAATATGTAAAACTATTTACAGTTGGTGGAAGAAGGATTATTTAGTTACTGGCCCTGGATCTCTGACTGCGATTTTTTCTTTCTCGCATGGCATATATTACAACATACGATACCAGAGTAGACCTGCTCCACGTTTCTTGGCTGATTGAGTTGAAAATTTCCAGCAAGTCAGTACGTAATATTATAACCATTGTATTGTACGTCATGCATATTTAATTGCTGGATCGCGTCAACAGACCTGTTCAGCCCTGGCGGCATTACGAATTGCAATTCAGCAATTCTCATCACACCTAATGCCGCATCTGGAGACCGGTATAATCAATGCAAATCAATGTATGAGATTCTGGGTGAGAATGACTCGCAAAATCCGCAATGAATGGGATTTGACCAGCATTCCACATATTACCAGTTATTATGATCTTCTGTTGCAATTTGAGAGGCTGCAATAATTGTTAAATTGCGTCAAGGATTTGTTCTTTAAATGCCTTTGCTATGTAAGTTTCTGCATTGACTGTTGACCAAATGAAGTGAATAGATAGAAAAATACCGCTAAGTAGGAAAATGGAGACTGGATATTATGCAGTTTATCGTGACCACCGAGCTAGCACTGCCTTTTTCTTCTTTACTCAGTAAACTTCGTGTAGTCAGTTTAAGGTTAAACACGATCTTTTCCTAAATATCAAACAGGGGATCGCGGTCATTGTAACGGTCAGATTTGGTAAATCCCGGTGAACTATTTCTCTAAATCTGCTATGCAAATTTGATAAAGAGAAAGGGAGACTTTACAGAAATGATTTTAAAGATGTAATGATAAATTAGATAGGCTAAAATGTAGCCGCAAACGTTTTCACAATGGTTGTTTCGGTAAGCTCAAGTCGTTCACTGTTTTGCTCTTTATCGTAAGAATGCATCTTCTAAAGCTCACCATTATCATCTTGTTGGTGTCAGATGGAGGTAAGAAGTGTGCAGTGTACATTTAACAACATTTTTGCTTCTGTCCCTCCTATAAACAACTAATGTGACTACCATCTTTTGTAGACAACAAAATGTATCGTACCTTCGTTATAGCTGCATCATGTGTTTTGAAAGATGACTTATTTCAGGTTGCAAATTCAAATTGGTAGACCAATATGGAACAGAAATAACATCAGAACACCAGGAAGGTCTGCTGTTGTACAACGGGGGTACAGTTTGTGACGACGGGTTCGGCAGTAACGCTGCCACTGCCATATGTAACCTTATGGGATTCAAATCACATAGCAGCTGGTCGAATACGACTCATTGGCCGTCTCTCCAAGAAGGGTACTCTATAACAATTGAAGAAGTCAGCTGCTCCTCTACAGACTGGACATCTTGCAGTTTCAATACGACTCTAAATGATTGTGTTCACGATGAAGATGTGTTTCTTACTTGTAAAGGTTTGAGTTATCCCGACCAATAAATCATGTTTCCTAAGTATGGTATAATAGTGTAAATAAAACCGTTCCATTGGTTCTTGGTTAAAGCGTCGGCGAATCTTATTTCCTTAAAATATTTACTTAAGTAAGATACAAATACACAGATGTAAGGCAGTTATAGGGGATATATTTCAGGTTGCATTTTCAAGTTAGTGGACCACCATGAGAAGGAAATAACGACAGAGTACCGAGAAGGTATGCTGCTGTACAATGGTGGCACGGTGTGCCGTGATGGGTTCAGCAATGATTCCGCCACTGCCATTTGTAAACTGCTGGGATTTGACACTAACAGCAGCTGGAGGTCTGGACGGTTGTGGACGTCTCATAATTATCAGATAACACTGGATGACGTCATCTGCACCTCACCTGAGTGGACATCATGCAGCTACAATGACACTCATCACAACTGTAACCACGGGGAGGATGTGTTTCTGGGCTGTGCTAGGGAGTGTTCACCGGGTAAATACCGCAGATTAGAATCCTGTGAACGGTGTCCGTCTAACACTTATAAAGCAGTGACAGGTATTCAGACTTCCTGCACCACTTGTCCCAGATCCACCACTTCATCGGCCGGTTCAGCACACTGTTCTTGTGTAGCCGGCATGTTCTGGAGTGGAGCTGAATGCCGGAGTTGTACTGAAAACTCTGCAAGTCCACCGGGTGCTCTACAATGTTTTGGGTGCCCATCAGGATCACAACCATTGAATAACAATACATCATGTAGCTGTGTGGCAGGGCAGGTATGGAAATGGCCCGATTTGGAGGATCAAACTGGTGGTTCCTGTGAATTGTGTCCACAAAATACATACAATAGCGAAAGAGAGACGTCATGTTTAGGTTGCCCGGAAGGAACAGTGTCTGCAGCTGGTTCTGCCTACTGTTCTTGCAACGTTGGAATGTTCTGGAACAAAACAAGCTGTCACAATTGCCCACAAGGCTCAGTTAGTGTTAGGGGTGCTCTGAGATGCACAGAATGTCCTTCTGGTACCTCAGCTAACAATACTCAGTCCAGCTGTGTCTGTCCGGAGGGGGATATGTGGGACTGGAGCTCACAGAGCAACGGATCTTGTGTGTATCAGCAAACTCTTCAGGTCATAAGTAAGAAGTCTTATTCTATCATACTCGCTTCAATACTGCTAGCAGTGCTTTGTCTTGCGATAGGTTTGCTTATATACTGCAAGAAGAAGAGGAAGAAGAGGAAACCATCAATAGAACCGTCAGTAACAATTGTTGTTTATGACACTGATGGTGATCAGGTTGATCGCTTTCCAGGAGAGGGACAGGGTACGCTCAATACCACCACACGATTATGGAAAGGGAGATATAATTATGAGCAGTGAAGTTGATTTTCCATCTGATCACAAAATTTCGAAGGTGTTGATTAGTGTTGATGATTAATTTTTTTATTTAATTCTGAGTTATTATTACTCTAGTTTCACGACATCATTATTCGTGAAAGATTATTCGTTACTTTTAGTAAACGCGAATATCACGATATCGATATATGCGGTTTATTGGATACGCACTATTATATAATGCATTATGTATAATATTACATTATTTAAGAACGAGTTTCATTTATATGTTACGTTGACTTGATCAGATGTTTGTTGATTTATTAATAACTTTAGAGTAGTTTGAAAAGTATTAAAAAAAGTTAAAGATACAATGTTAGGGAGCACAATGTTAGGGAGCACAATGTTAGGGAGCACAATGTTAGGGAGCGCAATCTTAGGGAGCGCAATCTTAGGGAGCGCAATCTTAGGGAGCGCAATCTTAGGGAGCGCAATCTTAGGGAGCGCAATGTTAGGGATCGCAATGTTCAGGGACAGCGGAAGCTATGCCAAAATTTTCAGCCGATCCCTTTCATGTGCAAGTTTAACCATCCACAGTTTCTATTACTGATTTTGAGACACCTCCGGAGACTTAATCATGCATGGTTCTTGAGTCAAAGTATAGCAAATTGCCGGAAGAGAGTTAATATATGTAATTTCAATTATTTATGATACCGATACAAGCATTCAAATTCCAGACATTTTCAACCAGAATAGTGAGCTGAGACAGGCTTTCTGAGAGTCTTTTGATGTCTTAGCTCAATATTATACCGAATGGCTCTCATGAGGAATAAGGTCAGTTGGCTGCTTGCATATCTGGCCATTATTTCTCGGGACGATCATGTCATAATGATTCTGCTCTGTTGCTTTGACGTCAGTGGCAGACATATTGTCCCACAGGTCGCTGTGAAGTCCTTATGTGCACAGCCAGTACAGAAAGGACGATACTTCAGGATCCGCGAGGGCTTGAAGGCTTATCCAGATAGCCCATTATTCGCACCTATCTCCGTGGATTCCCTTAGAAGGGAGGCCGAACGGCGGACCTCTACCAGTAAAATGTGAGGTCCTACTCCGGAGGAGAAACCCGGTTACAGATTAAAGCCGTCCGGGACTAAAACTGAACTGAACTGAGGGAACTTAGGGAGCACAATGTTAGGGAGCACAATGTTAGGGAGCGCAATGTTAGGGAGCACAATGTTAGGGAGCGCAATGTTAGGGAGCACAATGTTAGGGAGCACAATGTTAGGGAGCACAATGTTAGGGAGCACAATGTTAGGGAGCACAATGTTAGGGAGCACAATGTTAGGGAGCACAATGTTAGGGAGCACAATGTTAGGGAGCACAATGTTAGGGAGCGCAATGTTAGGGAGCGCAATGTTAGGGAGCGCAATGTTAGGGAGCACAATGTTAGGGAGCACAATGTTAGAGAGCACAATGTTAGGGAGCACAATGTTAGGGAGCACAATGTTAGGGAGCGCAATGTTAGGGAGCGCAATGTTAGGGAGCGCAATGTTAGGGAGCGCAATGTTAGGGAGCGCAATGTTAGGGAGCGCAATGTTAGGGAGCGCAATGTTAGGGAGCGCAATGTAAGAAACATTGTGTTTCGTAGTTTAAAGCTGGTACATATAATTAAATAACCGCTGAAGGACAAGAATATCTATACTCTATAGGTGTATAAGTATGACGTGTGTTTTGTGTAGTACGACGCATCAAATGCTGATAATTGATGGGATTTGATGCGGTGAGAAACATAAATAAGTGGAATTATCTGCAAGATATAATACATACATATTGCAGAGACTAGAGTACAATACATATTGCAGAGACTAGAGTACAATACATATAATTGCAGAGAGTACTTTCACTACTTGATGAACAGTAAAACTTTTCTAACAACCTTACTTTTTTCCTTGCGAAAGGTCAATTTTCCGTGTTTTTGAGCCGTTGCCATGGGAATTTCGACAAGCTTAAAATCTAGTACAGATATATATTTTCCCAGTTTAGTTACTTTCAATTTTAGCATTATCACAGAACAAAAATAAAGATGTTAGTTAGTAAATAATTAGTTAATTATAATCTGCAAGAAAGATATAAGTGAGTACTCACACAGGGATAATATCACCAGGCAGGAGACCAGTAGCTGTGTCACATGACCGGGGGAAGTAGGGGTAAACAGTGACTGTGACTACTATTGAGGTCAGGAGTAGGGTAACACCCAACATGGTCACTCCGCAGATCTTACCTCTAGTACATCTGCTCTTCTGAAACAAAGTTACGTGTTATAGTCACGTGTTAAAGTGACGTGTTAAAGTGACGTACAATACTTGGGGATGAGGTGAGGAACGTTTTAATATGGATGAGATAAATGTCAAGGGAGCTAGAGGACTGTGATAAGTATTGTTGTCAGGGCATTAATATATATATAAGTTGCAACATCGGTATAATATTAGCAACATTGAGCAACCTTATATCCATAAAACAGCAAATTAAGCAAGAATTATCAGACATAACGATAACGGATGATAATAAAATAATAATAATGCAAAACTGTACATATGCACTGTGTTGTGCAACTATTGACTGCTGCACGTAAGTTAATAGAAATGAGGAGATGACACAATACAAACAGAAGCTAAAATCTGCTGATAGTGTACGAATGTGTTCTGGAGATGTATTTGATTATCATCTTATTGTCTATTAGAATACTATTCAACAATACAGTATACCACACAGCCAAGTTGTGGAACAAAGAAAATTTCTCAAATTCGTTTGATGTGTGATTTACAAGTAACTGAATTAGGTTCAAATTAAGCATTTCTCTTATTAACTGAGACATTACGGTCCTAACATTTCCAGAACCTTACCCACAACAAATAAAATCTTAAATGATAACTGGAAACTTTAACACGCTAATGATAACTATTTAATAATTCATAAGTAACGGCAAATGTCAGATGATTAGTAATAAACGTAGTATGATTGCCTGTGAACACTTACATGATTATAGACTTAACGAGTAGTAATCATGGTTAACACTTACTCGTGCGCGGTGTCTACTGTCTAAACAGAGCTCCGAGTTTAACAAGATTGAGCAACAAAGACTAGTAGGTATAGAGTGGGACACCCTGTAGTTACCTTTTAGTTGTCACACTGAAGATTTGATATGACTAATAACATATTATTATAACGTGAATGACGAGAGAGACCAGAGAGTGACCCACGTGACATTGCACGGGACGCTGACACGTCAGTGTGACAACTAGAAGTCCCAAAAAGTTATTATCGTTTAAGGATAAGTTTAGCTCATTTGACATGTCTTTCATCTAAAAGATTACATTTTCTCAAGGCCTGATTTATTGTTAATAACGTTCAAACTTCAAATACAATTTTCTAGCAGTTTAGTATTAATTAGGCGTAGCACGATTCACGAACAATGAAAAAGGAAGAAAAAAAATTAAATTGACATGATTAGCGTAATTATTATTCATAAAAAACTTAATTAACAAACTTATCACAATAAATATAGTAAATGTGCACCACACTAAAACCCCACAAACAATGTAGAATGTGGAATTGAGGGCAGGGCCACATGGGATACCACAAAATACACACGGTACAGTAATATCACAGTAATAATATGTATAAACTCTATAAAGTACACAGTGTACACACCGGGAGTTAACTTGTGTGCTTTAACTGTGAAGGAGAATAATATTTGGAGACACAAAAGAGTTGCCTGACAGGGAGGTTGGACACTTCCTTAATTCAAATATTTTATTTGGTAGATTCACAGACAAATCATACGCTGGTCCGACACCAGTATTTTATGTGTATAACTCATATAATTGCACAAGTGTGGCGACTGTGTTACCCATGTAAGTGATGTATCGTCAAAAGGCTTAATGAAAACCTTGTGACGAGGAAACAACAGCTCCATATGAGGTATAATTAATGCTCATAAACAATCTTTTCATCACTCAATTCCTCTGTAAATTCTTTTCATTCTCCGTAGTTACGACTCGAGGGAAGATTGGAAAATAAAGCGTCGAATCCGTTTTTTGTCATAGAAAAGAAATTTGCGGAGCTAATACTGCTGGTAATAACGACAAATTAATGACAGCAGTTTTTAGAGCGGCGGATTAATAACGGATTTTATGCACGAATGGTAAAGGCGAGGAATAAAATATCGAGTTTTATAATACGAACACTTTTTACGGTCACCGTCCTACAATTCACTAGAAAGTTAGAACTTTTAAAAACACCTGTGCTACTGTTTGTTGTTTGTTTGTTTATAGAACCCGTCCCCAATCTCGTATCGGAAAATGACTAAACTCAGGTCTGAGTGTGAATACGGGTGGTACCTGCAAGAGTGTTCATTAAGCATTTAGAGTTCTGTAAAACTGCAGTTACAATTGTGCTAGAGTATTTTTAGTATATACGATTGGTATCAGAAATATATCCCTACATGCTTCCAAAATTTGTAAAGCCGTAGTACATACATATCACACTACACCGGAGCCTACACAGTGCAATCTCCTCCATACCAGTCGATCTGCGCCGCGTATGTTTATATAAGCGTGCGGCGCAGACTGGAGGAAACCACACTCTGCAAGTTCGATCCAGTGCAATGCTACATGTACGTACTACGGCTTCATCTCCAACTTTCTGCACAATGTACTGGAATGTTTTGAAGGAAAAGAATGAACAAAAAAAAAGTGATATATATAAATAAAATCAGCGATTTAATGTTAGCCTTAGGAGGGTAACTTTAATTCCCTGGTTTCTAAAATCAGCTTTTTAATAAAATAAAATAAAGTATGTAACGTCGATACCAAACCGATTATTGAGCGATAATAACTGAGTAGTTTATTCCTGGGTTGCGGAGTCATTCAGATGTTCCAGTTTTCGAATGTGGTTCTTGTTCAGTTCTTGACCAGAAGTGTCTAATGAAGTAAGTCAGACAAGCAAACTCTTCCTTTAATGCTGATATAAGTCGTCTCAATCCCAGAAATTATGAATGATA